CACCCCAGCAATCCATGTGTGCCCCTCTGTATCCCCCCAGCTTCCTGCCTCTGTCTCCAATCTCTTCGGGGCAAGCCGATAGAGGTACAGCTGTAAAGCATTTGTGCTGGCCGCCAGGCTGGCGGGGGAGCCATCTGCAGCCGGGTAGCTGCCAGGCCTGCAATGACGGGAACCCTGGGCCCCAGCGCTTCCACCCCAACCCCCAGCACAGGAACCTCTCTGTCTACCAAGGCCCAGGAGACCAAGGGGAAGGGGAATGACCTTGAGGCCACTGCAGGAGACAGTATACAGACCTAGTCAGCCCCTACTTGGCAACCTGCAGCTGAGTTTTGCTGCAGAGATGGGGGAGGAGGTGCTGCTCCCAAAGGAGGCTGACGAGTGGTCAGGGGCTGCCCACCCAAGCCTCAGTGACAAATTTGTCCTCAGCTGGCCAGTACACTCCACTGCCACCCTTCCTGGGCTAATAGAAAAGTTCTCATTAGTGGGCAGAGTAGGAAAGAGGGAAAGGATTCTCTCTCTCCCAGCCCCAACACATAAACCCCCCCACCCAGATCCCCACTTTCCCTTAATGTACATCTACCTCCCCGCCTAGGGGGAGAGGGGGTGCATTGAGTGAATGGACTTCTGAGATGTCTCCAGCCACAGCAGGCCCATCTAGTTCCAATCAGAGCAGGTTCCCAGATCATAGAGGGCACACAGGAGAGGGAGGTTGTGCACACAACCACCCCCCCAGTCAGCCCCTCCCCAGAGTGCTGTCCTTGTCCTGTTTGATCTCCTTTCACCTCCCAGGTGGGTCTCACACAGCCACTGGAAGACTAGGAAAGGCAGGCAAATCCTAGGGCCAGTAGTATGGACTCCAGACCTCGGTCCATGTTAGAAAAGCAGGCTGCAGAGAAGAGTGGGACACTGAAGGGAAGAGGGACCTGGGAGGAGGAGAAAGGGCTACAAATAGGGTCAGCGCAAGTGAAGGTCCTGGAAACCACTAGATCCCAACTGGATCTTAGCACAAATAGGGAAGCAGAGTTCCTGAAAAGGAAGTCTAATAAAAGCCCTTACTGAACTTGCCCCTAAGCCCTGTTTGTGCGTTCTACCCACCCGTCTTAACCAGGAATTAGGATCCACCTTCAACAGATGGGAAAACTGTGGCTCATAGGAATTAAAGGTCCCACCTGCCCAACCTCACCCAGGTGGTAAGCAACTAGAGCCACCATTCCACCTTCCCTGCCATCTCTTAGACTTGGATCAGGTGGGAGCTCAGTTCTGGATAAATCTACCCTCCCCAGCTGGGACCTGCTCTGGTTCCCCAACCCCCACCTCCCCAGTCCCAACTCCTGTCTCCAGGCGCAGGATGAAAGAGACATGCCTGAAGAAAAAAAAAATCGTGGTCACGGCTTGGTGCCAGGGTTCTAATCCTGGCTCAGATGAGTTTACAATTGAGTCTCAACTTCCCCAACGATAAAATGGACCAGTATTATCTAAAACTGGGACAGTGATACTGTGATTCCCCAACCCTCCAGTTCTATCATCCTAAACAAACCTAGAGATTTCCCTTGGCTTGGGTGGTCTTTAGGAAAAAGGTTTATCCCAATTTCAGAATTTAGAGCTGGCAAGGGAGCCAGCTCTAAAGAGAAAGAGGGGACCCAGCCAGCCATGGAAGCCGCTAATCTCCATCTCTCCCTGGGGGGACTTCACGGCCGCCTCCACTGAAAGCAATTTGTCATGCCCTGAATTAAGTGATTCCAACAAGGGTTTAATTTCAGTTTAATGGCTCTGTTTTTATGTGTAATTAAATACCATTGCATGGCGAAAATATGTTGTTTGCACTTTAGAGACTATGTAAGGGCCCAGGAAGCCAATCCCACCGGGTTTCTACTCCCAGGCTCCACCAGCCCCTCCCCTAGTCTGGCTGGAATTGTCCAGGTCATGAAGAAGGGGGTTGGGGACCTGGGGAAGAGGGGAGGGGCCAAGGAGAGAAATGGTCCTGGTGGCGCCTGCTCACTCAGTAGAGCATGTTTCTAATTATCCTCAGCACCCCCACTTCTACTCCCTGACCCTAACTCTCCCCAGCCCCTGGGGCCTCAGACATAGAGGGGACAGTGAAGATGTAATTAGACCCTTGGCTGGCTGTAGTGGTGTCTACTCCCCCATGGGTGTATATAAATGTCTGCCCCATTGTCTCTCCTCCACTTACTTTTCCCATTAACTCCCTCCTCCCCCATGAATATGCCTCCTCCGCATTGACCCTCTCCCCTGACTCACCAACCGCTTTTCCTCCCCTCTTCCCTAAGGCGACCCCAGGACCCAACAACGGACCCAACACATTGTGTCATAGGTGCCAGCCTGCATCCTAGTTCCATCCAACCACATCATCTAGACTTTCTCTTTCTAGGTCAGAGGTGACATTGCCATAGGGGTCTGGAATGCAGGGGCTTTCTCTAGCTGGGGATCTTTCAGGGTCATTGACTACATAGTCATATCCCCCCCAGGAAGGGGGTAGAGCAGGCACCCCAAGTCCGGCATGCCTCATAACATTCCTGGAGCAGCTTGGTATGGCTAAATCTGGCCCAGAGGGCAGAGGGGTTGGGACAAGCAGTCTTTTTCCTGGAAGGAGCTAAAGGGATTGCAGTAGCTGAAACCTAGGGGCCTTCGTAGGAGGAGGGACCAGGAAGCTTGGCCTACTCTCCAGAGATGCCCTCGTCTGAATCCAATACTGGAGTCAGCCCAAGTCTACCCATTTTTCTCCCTACTCCCACCCTGCTGGCTTGCCAGTGGAAAACCCTGCCCCCAACCCTCAGCGACAGCAGGGCTTCAATCTCCACTAATGAGTTGGGAAATGGAAACCAAATGCCTGATGTAGATCAGCACCAATGGGCTAAGGGGTCCTGGTGGGGTGCCTCCCACCCCCCTGCTCCAAGCCAGGAGGGGAATAACTTTTCTTGGGGAGGCAGGGCAGAGTACTCAAGGACTTCAGTTTTAAGTTTATGTGGGTAAATCCCAACAGGACACAAGAAATTTCCTTGTCACCTTCTCCCTTCCACCTCTGCCAAACATGTCCCATGGCTATTAGAATGACCATCCAAGGGTATTTGGAGGCTATGGTAGGGCAGGGAGGGGGCAGGGCTAAGTGCAAACTAGACCAGCAATTCCTCTCTGGAGCCTAGTTCTCCCCACTATGACACTGCCCAGGATGATTTATTTCATATGGCCTGGCAGTGGTGGAGGGTGTCCACATTGACAAAGAGCTGCTTTTATTTCCTTCTTTTTGGACACCTGGGACCTGGCTCCCAGATCTTGGAGGTAAGCATGTTTGTGGGGGGGAGGCGGTGGGCAGGGGAGAGGGCAGTGTTTTGTGGGATGTGTAATTCCCTCTCCCCAAGTGTGTATCCTCTATCCTTTGGTGCTTGAGCTCCCCACAAATCCTACAGTGGGAATGAGTGAGGGCCATTCATTCACAGCCTGAAGGGAAGTATGTACATATTCTGTGAATTTCTATTCCCTCTTGCCTCACATCACATACATTCACACGCAGAGTCACACAGCCCACATAGACACACCCCTTGAATTAGCATCTCCTCTACACATACCCAGACCCGGTACACATGCATTCACTTCTCACTTTGTATATTCAAAAGTATCACTTTGCTATATTTACACACATGCGTGCACACACACTCAAACCCATACACACATACCACAAATATGCAGACATGACACAAAGACACATCCCAGGCCATATATGCAGCTACCTCCCAAGCAGATCCAGCTTTTCTTAAAGGCCCATGGGAGGAAAAGGACCTCTTAGTATCCACTGCCAGGGTAGAGCATTGAGAACGGGAGCTGGAGAAAAAAGAGGAATTTAAAGAGGTGCTTTAGGGAAAAAGATACTTTTCCCTACATTTATTTGGTTTAAGGACCTAAAACTTAATTGTCAGCCTGCACTTGCCTCCTGCCCCAACATCCCTTGGCTTCAGCCCAAGAAGTAGGGGGCTCTGTGAAGGGTGGTCAGAGGGCCAAGGTCACTTTGTTCTTTAATCTCCTACTGCTGGCAGTGGCCTGTGATGCCTTAGGGAGACCAGATGGCTGCGAGATGCTGCCACCGAGGCAGAGCTAGAGAGATGAGGATTGCAGGCTCAGATTCAAGATGCAGATAGCACAGAGGTCAGCTCATCAGGAGCCAGCTCATCAGAAGCCAGTGAATTAAAAGGCCAGGTAGTGCCTCTGGAACTGGGGAGGGGCTAGGAATCCAGAAGACAACCAACAGCAGCCAATTCCCCAAAGTGCAGCAGACTTGGTTCACAGGGTCTTCAGGCTGCCCAGAACCTCCTAAGAAGCCTCCCACCCACCCAGGAGATTAGTGTACACACACACAGAGCACAGAGATGGGGGAGAAGGATGTTGGGAGATGACCAGAAATCCAATTATACCACTTGGGCACAGATTCTGGGTCTGGCACCAAGAGACCACAGCCTCCTGAGCTCAGGACAGCAAGATCAAAGATGCCCCTACTCCCAGCCTCTCAGAACCAAATCTTGACACAACTACCCCATTAAGGAATCTAGGCAGTCAGAGCTATGGACTGTGTTGGAGTTTACCCTCTTTCTCCAACTTCAGGGAAGTACCTCCTCCACCAAATACATCAAGTTCAGATGTAAATCCAATCTGCCTGATGCCCTAGGAGATACCCCAGCTTCACACACCAGATGATCCCAGAAATAACTATGAACCACCAGGACTGTCCTTGCTTACCTTCCTTCAGAAGCCATTATTTGAACACAAACAGTATGACTTTGGGGACAAGGAAGCCCCCTAGGAAGAGGCTGCAGGGAAGGGGAGGGTGAATTGGTTGACTCTTTGCAATTCTCTTAGCGTGTAGGACAGTTCTGGGGACCACATGATGACCCCCTTTTTCCACCCCTGGTGCATCCCTGTCTCTAATTATAAATAAATCAACAAAACACAATTGTCTAGGTTTTTTTGTTTTGTTTTGTTCTGTTTTGTTAAAAAAAAAAAAAAGACATCATGGCCAACTGGTAGGTCCCTAAGTCTCCTTCTATCCAGTCAAACCAGAAATGCCTGGAGGGTAGTAGGGAGGTATAGGATGGGAGGCAAAGCCACAGGCAGTGAACCACTGGAAGGATGGAGTCATCCTGATGACTTCGTGGCTATGACCACAAACAGGGAAGGATGCAGGACCCCAGGCAAATCCTTTACCCCCCAGCATGTGTGTCCTCTTCTCCATCAGGCACATGCAGTCCAACTGTGCATTCTTTCTTCCTAATCAGAGATGGGCCCCTGCTCCCCAGCCCTCTGTCCTGTATGACTTCTTCTAGCCCTCTTCCCTCCCCCACACCAGGGCCTGGGCTGCCAGGCAACCAAGCAGATGGCACACCAGACCCAAAGGTGGGCTTGTCTCTATAGGTCCTTCCCACTGAAGGGACCTAGGGAAGAGAAGAAGGGGAGCCTGGCAGGCTTGAGTTTGGGAGTGAGTCTGGGACTCCTGTCCATTGAATCATCTGCCACTCCACACTTTCCCTATGGCCTCCAACCTCTGACTAAATTGAGGGGAATGACAATGGTACAAGGTACAACAGTCAAGGTACATGACTACTTTCCTCCTCTGATTTTGGAAAAGAGACTTCTCTTCCCCCACAAACTTGTGCTCAGCTTATAAGAAATGACCCCAGATGCCCAAATCAGAGAAAGTCAGAATAAGAGCCCCCAGGGCTAAAAAAACCAGAGCTGGCATGTAGTATGTTGTCAATAAATGTTTTAGAACGGCTGGATGAATGGATGAATGAATGAATGAATGAGTCCACGATCAATTTGGAGACATACCAGGGCTCCCCATTGCCACTCTCAGACGTCTCAGGCTATCTAAGACCAAAGAAGACACCCTAGGCTTTGGCTCACCCCAAGGGCACACCCATGCGTGCGTGCACACACACATACACACACACATACACACAGAAAGGGAAACTTCTAGGCCAGAGACAGAGCCAGGACTCAGACCCAGGCTCCAGGTCAGCTCTGTAGCCTCTAGGGGATGGGGACGGCAGGGGGCATTGAGCCCCCTGCCTCCTGGCAGGGCTCACTCGCGGAAGCTGTCAGCCAACTGGTGGCAGTCCAGCTCCCCTTTTGGCTCCAGGCCCCCTGGAAGCTTCACTCCTGTCTTCCGGTCCACACACCAGCATTTGCCGCGCTGCCCATCTAAGGCCGGGTGACACTGCCAAGACAAGGGTGTGAGAGGTCAGTTCCCAGGCAGCCTGCCCCAATCCCAGCCCAGCCCACGTCAGATAGTTGATCCAAGATGGCCTGTGAGGGCAGAGGCTCTTTCATGAGCACAGACCCTCTGAGCTCATAGAATAGAGAGATCTTGGCCAAAAAGTAAAGGTTGTCTCAGAGGTCAGCACTGGTCTAGTGATAAAGGGCTCAAGTGTCAGAACTTTCAGTGGGATAAAAATTGAAGGAAGAAAACACATAGACCTGTACAACACAAAGAGTGAACCCTAATATAAACTGTGGACTTTAGTTAATAATGTATCACTATTAGTGCTTTAATTTGTAGTACCATATGTACCATGCTAATGCAAGATGTTAACATGGAAACCTAGGGGTGAGGAAGTAGATGGGAATCCTGTATTTTCTACTCAACTTTTCTGTAAATCTAAAACTGCTCTAGAACATAAAATCTATTAATTTTTTTAATGAGTAAAAAAAGTGTTTTTAAAGGATTTTATTTATTTATTTGATAGAGAGAGAGAGCACAAGCAGGGGTAACAGCAGAAGGAGAAGCAGACTCCTCACTGAGCAGGAAGCCTGATGTAGGGCTCCATCTCAGGACCCTGGGATCATGACCTGAGGCTAAGGCAGATGTTTAACTGACTAAGCCACTCAGGTACCCCAGGAAAAAAGTTTTTAAGAATTAGAACAAGAAGGGGTGCCTGCGTGGCTCAGTTGGCTGAGCACCCAACTCATGGTTTTGGCTCAGGTGATGATCTCAGAGTTGTGAGATCCATTGAGCCCTACATGCGGCTCCCCGCTCAGCAGAGAGTCTGCTTGAGATTCTCTCTCCCTCCCCCTCTACCCCTCCCCAGCTCACTGCACTCTCTCTCTGTCTGTCTCTCAAATAAATAAATAAAATCTTTTTTAAATAGGACAAGGATGAAATTGGTGTTGGGATAAAGCTTGCAGGTATGTTTGGCACTGGTTTGGGGGGCCCTTTCTGGTCCTCCACTCATTGCACACCACCCATAACCTCTCATGCCATCCTGGGATTTGCAGACTTGGGGGCAGCCCTTCTCCTATCAAGGCCTCTACTGGTCGAGTGGCAGCCCACTTTGTGGATCTGTCAATAGAGCATGGAGTGGGAGAATATATGTGTCTAGGCCCACCAGGAGCTGGAGAAAGACCCAAGCCAGGACTCCCCAGGCCACACCCAGCACAAGTCTCTGCCCAGATGTGCCACTCCTCCAAGTGAGCCCTCCCCTCATGGGTCAGAGATGGTCTGAGGCAGGCCAACCTTGCCGAACATCCTAGCCTCCTGGGGGGCTTATCAGAGGAACCCATGTTGCATGGGTATGGAAGTTTCTGCATTCACGTTTTCTCTCCTACTCCACTCCTTCTTCTGCTTCCATCCAGAGCTCCCATCCCAAGCTCCCATCCCCAGCTGTCAGATCTGACTTCACCTCCATCCTGGCTGTACCCCACGTGGTTTGGTTACTCAGCTTGGTGGAAGGGCTGGGCTGAGTTTCCTCCTTGACCCTTTATGACTGAGACCTTTTATCTCCAAATGAAACTAGAAACATTCTATGGCAAAGAACTACTCATAGGATGGAGTACAGTACAGGGAATGAGAGAGTGCTGGGAGGTAGAGAGGTTAGCAGGAGTGCTAAATGGTGAATCCAGAGGTGATGGAAATAGCCCTGGATAGGGAGGCAGGATAGCTGGTCTGCCATTAACTCACTCTGTGACTTTGGGCCTCAGTTTCCTCATCTCCAAAATGAGTGTGGTGGGCAAAATAAACTGAGGCTTTAAGGCTGGGGGAGGGTTCCAGGGGTTAGGTTTGGGTTGAGAGGTCTCTTCTCTACTTGAGATCTCCATCCTGGACTACCCTTTGGAGAGACAAGTAATGCCCCAAGAGCTAAGGCCAGGACAGGCAGGGATGAAGACCCACCTGCTTCGGGTGGAAGTTGCCATTGCGGTCGCAGTTGGGGATGGGGATGATGTAGAGGTCCTCGTGGGTGCGGCTCTGTGAGGCAGCCAGACGCTCCAGGGCCCGGTGCAGCTCACTCTGGCAGGAGCCCTGGGGCTGAAGGAAGGGAGAATGAAACTGCTTAGCAGAAAGGAGAGAAGCAGGAAGACCAAAGCTAGGGGTCAGGTCAAGACTGAAAGCCGAGAGGCTGGGCAGGCCCCAGTAGATTCAGGGGACCCTGGTGGGCAGAGCAGGACATTGCAGAGAGAATATTGGGCCAAAGAGCTTCCAAAAAGGAGGGGTGTGAATGGAAGGGACTTTGTGGGGGAACGGGGTTGTGGAAACCTATGGAGATGGTTGGGAATGGAGTGACTTCCAAGCTGAAGGGATAGCTGACATCATACAATTAACTTATGGAACCCAGGCGGGATCCATTAGAACCATCCATCAGAAAGGACATTAGCCAGATGCTGGGGCAGGGTCTCAGGCCCCCTGCTACGGCCAGCATTAACCCTTTAGTTACTGAAAGACTCTGTATGGAGAAGCCAAGAGAAGGGCTAAGAAACACCAGGTGGCTTGGTGTTTACTATTTACAAACGAGTACAGAAATATTTCAGTACTTAACAATCACTTCAACTATATCAGTGTATATGACTGATGACCAGGAAAGGAATATCAAGGAAGAAATGAGGATTCTCTGGGTCCTGGGGATGTATACCAGGTATGTCTTACACACAGTAGGCATCCAAAGAATGTTTGCTGAATGATCATAGTCCAGATCTAGTGTGGGGAGGGTGGGTTGTGACTGTGCACAGGTGCATTTGTAGGTCAGAAGTCCTCACCACAGGCCGAGCTTCCTCCCGAGGCACCCCGATGACCTTCATCTTCCCCCACTGGTGCTGCGGTCTCGAATTTTGGCAAAGTGCTTCTGCAGGCACCGGCGGTCATGGGCGCTACAGGGACTGAAGCTGTTGTTGGGGTGGTCACCCTCATCCTTGTCTGCAGTCAGGCCGAGATGGGAGAGAGGTCAGCACTGGGAAAAGACAGGGCAACATACCAACCCAGCCTCCCCACCTGCTTTCTTCTTGGGGATTCTCTCTACCCTGGCTCTGGGAGAGAACAGGGGACCTTAGGGTGGGGGGGATGAAAGCAACACCCTCCTTTCCTCCCCACTCTCCTGAGATTTCCTCAGGAGAATATTCCTCTTAAAGTCTTTGCCTTGTCCCTCACCCCACCCAGTCCAGCCCTCAGATGAGTCATCAGCTGCAGCTGCGCAGACAGCAGGAGAGTCCCCTGGGCCCTGCAGGGAGGTCTAAGGCAGGCAGGGGCCTCCCCACCAGATCTCGCACCCTCCTCCATTCAGGTCCTCCTACCATCCCCACTCCATCTGCTCTCTCTTCCTGTCTCCTTTCCTGCTCTTTTCAGCATCTGGCTGAGCCAACCAGGGGATCCCCAGATCTGTTGGCTCTGCTGCCCCTCTTCCACATGGCCAAAATCAGAGTTTCCATGAGTGATGAGAAATCTGGCCCAAAAGGCTCTCCCCATTAGCTGAACAGGAGAGAAGGAGTGCAAGTGGGTGTGTATGCCTGCATGCAGGCATCCGTTGTGTGTGTGTGTGGTGTGTGTGTGTGTGTGTGTGTGTGTGTGTAACACACTGTGTGGCCACAGAACTGAAAATATCCTCACACCTTCCTTCAATTCCCCCACCTCAACATCTCCCATCCTTGGATCTTAGACCCCATTCAAAGTCCATGTCTATTGTCCAGAGCCAGGGCACTGGGGAACTGGAGATGGGGGTAGTGAGGCTGGACTTGTGCACTCTCCCTGGGATTTCCTGAAGATTATATCTGAACTCAAGAACAACCCAATCTAGAAGTCCCAGAATTGTAACCACTGCTCCAAACCTTCAGGCAGCAAAAACCAGAATACAGGACTGAGCTGGAGAAAGAGATTGCAAGACCTCTCTGCAGATCAGAGTCACCTCTAAAATGCTTGGGCTTGGCAGCTCCCTGCCGGCCTGAATGCAAAGCCCCTGCCAGCATTCCAGATGTTGGCAGCCAGACAGAAGGTTACATCTGGTTTGCGTCAGGATTTTTTTTTCCTGAGGAGTTAGCAGGTTCCTCCATGCATGGCAGGAGTCCCAGAGCTGCCTCTGGGTCAAATGGTATTTTTCCGTCTAGCCAAAGTTAGTTGGGGGGTTAGTTCTCTTTTTATTCTCCTAGTTCTGGTGGTGTGGGGGGAAGCAAGTAGATACAGGAAAACCAGGCAAGGAGAAATCTAGACTTTCAGAAAGTCTTTGTCAAGATTCCATACCAAAGGTTATTTATAAAATTGAGTCACCAAGGATGGGAAGAAGGTGTTGTCATGAGTAGAGGGCTGGTTTAGAAAGAAGAACCAAAGGTAAGGAATAAATGGAGCAGATAGATATAATCTATCCTTTTGCATATTTAACATCCCAAGAAGGACAGTCTGGAGGGTACTTCAGTCTCATTGACAACATCAAGTTCTTACGGGTCAATAAAGGAGAAAGCACTATAGCAAGACCTCCTAATGCTGTGACAAAAGATGTGAGTAAATTTCAGAAGACTAGGATTGTTATGGTGGCCATAAGAAGAAGGGCCAGGGGCACCTGGGTGGCTCAGCGGCTGAGCATCTGCCTTTGGCTCAGGGTGTGATCCTGGGGTCCTGGGATTGAGTCCTGCATCAGGCTCCCCGTGGGAGCCTGCTTCTCCCCCTGCCTATGTCTCCGTCTCTCTCTCTCTGTGTCTTGTGAAAAAATAAATAAAATCTTAAAAAAAAAAATATGGACCCCAAACCCTCACTCTGAACCAGAGAAAATATCTAGGATCCAGGCTTTTCCCTGTAGACCCTTCCAAGGAACCTTTCTGGCCAAAAGGCCCAAACTGGCCAGTGACCTCTGCCCCTGCATCCACCTTGCACAATACCATAAGACTTTTGGATGAGGTCACAGGGTTTCAGGGGTGTAGGCTGGAGGTAGATAATGGAGAGGAAGAGGAAATGGAAGACCTAAAGGAATTAGAGCTAAATCCTGGAACAACAGAGGCTAAGCTGAAACATGAACAAAAGCATCACCATTCTACCCAGAAAAGACTGGAAGGGATCAAAAGGACTCATTTGCCACAGCCCATGATGCTAATTTGAGGGGCACTCTTGAAACCTGAGAAAAGTTTTGGTCTTTCCTTTGAGTTTGCTTTTCCTTTCACAGCCATAAAGGGAAGCACTACTTCTCCCAGTGACACTTGTTCCTTTGGTAAGTTGGCAGAATGTTCTTAGGTTTGAGAAAGATGAGTTTTCTAGCAATCGGAAGTAGAGAACCTCCCATCCTGGAAGTGTGACCCAGCAGGGTGGTAAAGGGCTCAAGAACCTAAAGAGATCTGGAGTAGAAATTTAACTGCAACTAGGCTTTCCAACATTGAGTTTCTAAGAGTTGAAGTTCACAAATGACTAACACTTGGGGGTTTATTAATGGATATATAGAATGTTTATCTCTTAATTCAGGAGGTATCATTAAGGAGGACAAGGAGAGGGCGCCTGGGTGGCTCAGTTGGTTGAATGTCCAGCTTTTGGTTTTGGCTCAGGTCATGATCTCAGGGTTGTGAGATCAAGCCCCAAGTCAGGCTCTGCACTGAGCACATAGTCTGCTTGGGGTTCTCTCTCTCCCTCTCCTTCTGCTTGCATGCACATTCTCTTTCTCTCTCTCTTAAATAAATAAAATATTAAAAAAAAAAAAGGACAACTGGGTTGGCTCACTGAAACCTGGAGCTGCATGGGACACAGGGCAAGTCTGGAAGCATAGTTTATACTCTTGTGTGGGTAGGGCCCCATGACACACTGAGGGGATTATCTGGGGAAAGCTAAGCAGGCAGCATGCCCGGCCTCCCCCTCCTTGGTTTCCCCACTTTTTTTTGTTGTTGTTAGGCAAGCTTCCTTTTTTATTTTTTGAAGAACTGAAGAATCCTACAAGCCTCCAAAACACACATATTTGAGTCCAGATACTCATCAATGCCATACTTGGACCCCTCTTGCCTGAGGCCAGACTGCTTCACCCCACCAAAAGGGCACTCCACGGAAGAGTTCGATCCTTCATTAACACCAAGCATGCCAACTCCCAGCTGTTCTGCCACTCTCCAGATCTGGTCCCGGTCTGTCCCTGACTCATGTCTAAGCTTTCGAGAAGAATACACCAGATAGAGAGAATAGCTGCTTACTTACTCTCATGGAGACATAGGTACACAGACTATATACCCATATCTGCCCACTCAGACACAGACAGGCCAGGACTCAAGAACCACAAACATATACAAACAATCACGTGTCCAGGCACACACTGGTCCCCACATGCACACCCACATGCACTCAGGCACTCTGACCCTGCCCCAGGGAGAGACACAGACCCAGGGCAGGGCACACTGCCTGCACCATAACTTGTTGACTTTCCATTTAATCTGTAACTTTTCCTTGCCCAGCCTTGCTTAACAGGCAGACTAAGGATCCACCCCAGGATCCACCCCCAGGCTCTGGGTTTGGGAGGGTGAGGGTCGCAGCTTTGGGCCTCTGAAAATGTTAACCTACCCATCTCCAAAACTGGCTAAATACTTGCTACTTCCCTGCTTACTCAGGAATTCCAGCCACCTGGTACTGCTCACCCAGGGGGGCGCCTCTGGAAAGACCCCAGTCCCTGTGGGTCCCCCCAGAGTCAGACCTAGCCCCTGAAAGATCTGGCTTTCTGACTTCCAAAAGGCTTATTTAGGGGGTGGGGCTTCCACATAAGCCAGATCATCTCCTCCAGCCCCTGCTCCGAGTTAGGCCAACAACATGCAGCTAAAGGCAAACCCTGGTCTTTGCTCTAGCAACTGAGGGTAAGGTGCCCAGAGAAAGAAAAGCACCACTGGCTGAAAAGTTCATGGTCAAAGCTAGAGGATTTCCTCTTCCTGGCAGCCTGATTTCAACCCCATGATTCCTCCTCAACCCCAGTCCCCTTCAAGACACCTCGGGTGAGGCTGTGAGGTGGGTGGTCCCAGCCACCCAGACACAGGTGTTTCAGCCACAATTTGGAGGCTCATCCCCCTGCCCTGCAAGAAAGGCCTTTTCTTTCTTCCCCTGGACTCTGCCTAGAGAAACAAAGATCACTCATGCCAGGTACCCAGGCCGTTCTTTAAGGTCTGGGTCACAGGACATCCCCCTCACCATTGTGCCATGCTGCCAGCCTCAGACTGAAGGAAAGCTGGCCTGACCTTTCCATGTCTACAACAGCAAGAAGCACTGAGTTCCTCCCTACCCCTCTCAACTCCCTTGAATGTTCCCCCTACTTTGCTCAGTTGCCCTAATGCCCCTCAAAGTCCCAACATCAGAGGAGGATTTAAGCGTCAACTGAAATCTCCTCAGCTTCTTCATCACCCTCCTCATGATGGCTCCAACTGACAGAGCTCTTACTCCATGCCAGACACCCCAAGTCTGTGAGGCAAGTCCCATTGTCATCTCCATTTCATAGATGAGAAAATGCCAGTAGACTGGGTGGAGGGGAAGGAGGACAGACTTATCCCTGCAGCTCCTATGTCTTTAAATGGAAAGACTCCTGATACCCGAGGCACCAATAATTCTGGCTTTGCCAATACTAAAGAAAAAATGTTAAGCAGCCATGCTCCTCCCCCCGCCTCCCCCAAGGCACAGAATTTCTGGGAAGGCCTTGTTCCCATGACATGACTGGATTCCCAGTACTGAAGTAAGGGGGACAATATTTGCTGCGTTGACTAAAAATTAACCCAGTCTGTCTGTTCCCTAACCCTGTCCCAGAGAGACCCAAGAGCACAGTTTAGGAGCTCCCCAGTCCAAACACTGATCTTCCCACTGTCCACTCCCCCAGATTCCAAGAGTCAAGGGTCAGTCCACTGATGCAGAATTGTGGACTTCTGACGCATGTGTGCCACCCCACCCCCACCTCTGGGGGCCTGAGCAGTGTTAATCCACAACCTTTTCTGGCTCAGAAAGCTGGGACAGGAGGGGTATGGGCAGGTTAGGGGGGCAGAGGCTTAATATGGAAGGAGGAAACCCTTCAGTCGGCAGCTGGACATAGCAAGGCCAAGGGAAGGGGCATGCCAACTGGCTGCCCTCCCCCAGTCACCTGCTGAAGTTTAGCTATAAGAGGAAAAGGCAGAAAGAGAAGCCGGATACCCTCTGCCAAACTATTCCCAAGGCAAGAGGAGTCTAAGCCTTGGGACCTAGGAGGCACAGTGGAAGGCTAGAAAGAATAGCGGGGATAAGCCCTGACCTCTGGCCATCTTGTCTCACCAGAGACCCTGCAGGGCTGTTGTACAATTCTAGGGGACACCTTTCACATGGTGTGGGGGATGCTTCTGTGATGACTAGGAGATGAGAAGGCATGGACACAGCTTGCCGAGTAGGTACCTAGGTCCCCCAGGATTCTGCAGGCTTGCCCTTTCCCTCTGCATAGCCTGCATGAGTGGAGGACAAGCAAGGAGGGAGAGGTGGGTGTTAGAGATCTGGACCCTGTAATCCCAGAGGATATAAAGGCCGATTTACATGATATACACGGGACAATCACAAACTTCATACCCAAAAAGCCCCAAAGCCCCTAGGGGATTAGATTTTTCTCCACTATAGGATGACGTGCTCCTACCCATCCAGGGAGGAAGGGGTGCTTAAGACCCTCTAAGGGCTCTTCTGCCCCGAGTTCATATACTGGGAGAGAAGGCTAGCACTCATCCTAATCTGATGCCAGATACATACCCATTGGCCGGTGGAGGATGGAGATACTCAGGGAGCCCAAGGGCTCAGCCCTCACTCCCAGTCTGGTCTGGTACCAGTGCTCCTCCCCTCCCACAGGCACTGGCATCTGTGCCCCAGGATCAGGGCCTTACTCCCTCAAGATGCCCTCTCCTCCGGCCCCCCTGATTCCCAGATGTGCCGGGTGCCAGACTGGCATTTCTCCTAGAATGTTTTCTGCTGACCCATCTCTCACTGCCTAGGGACAGGAAGGGCAGAGAGGCCTGAGGCCCAGACCCCTGGGGTCCACGTCCTTCCTGTTTTCCCTGCATCCTGCTTTCCTCCGCTAACAAGCTGCAGAGGATTGAGGAAGTGGAACGGTCTGGGACCCAGGGCAGGAAGCTTGGGGCCAGAGTCCCAGCATCCGGACTGCAACAATGGAAGCTTCAAGCCCCAGGAAAAGAGACAGACACAGACAGAGGCACAGGGAGAGCAAAACAGAGTCAGAGAGGGAACAAGAAACAGGCAGAAAGGCTGACAGAGAGAGAAATTCAGAAATTCAGAAAGGCTGACAGAGAGAGAGATTCCAAAAGTAACAGAGAAAGACAGGAACAAAGGCAGAAAGAGAAACAATGACAGAGACGTGGAGAAAAAGAGCCACAGAAAGGGGCTGAAGAGAAAGTGAGAGAAGTGGGACCACAAAAGCAGAAAGGGAACAAGAGAAAGAGAAACTGATAACAGGCCGAAGACACTGAGGAAAGGAGAGCTCCGGAATGCTGGTAGTGAAACTAGAGATTGAGAGACACAGCAGGAAATAACAAAAGAATAAGAAAGTATGAAAAGACTGAGAGCGATTCTAAGGAGAATCTGAGAGGCTCACTGAGAAATGGAAAAAGAGAAAGTGTAAGAATGAGTTTAGGGCAAAGGGCCTTCTAAACCTCTCCCTCTCCCTCTCCCTCTCCCTCTCCCTCTCCCTCTCCCTCTCCCTCTCCCTCTCCCTCGTCTCTCCCCTGCCCCCTCTCCCACCTCCCCCTCTTCCTCTCTCTCCTTTCTTTACTCCCTATCCCACACCCGTTAGGTTTCTATAGCGCTGGGCCAGGAGCCAAGACTTGCTTCTCTTCTGCCACCTCAGACGACACCTGCCAGGAAAGAGGAACGGGGTGCCTGTGTATACCAGGGCAGGATGAGGCGCCCAGGCCTGACAGAGAGACCTCTGTCTCCCCAGTGCCTCTCAAACAGCAAGGTGAGCTACCCAGGGGCTTTGGGGAGGGGCAGTGTCGATGCCCCTCACCACCAAAGCCCCTCTGATCGGCATGTCCCACTCGGCCACACCTCAATGTCAAAAGGCCAAGTCCTGGGTTCTTAAACCCCTGGGGTTTCACCTGTGGCCAGGATGAGGGGAGTTCCAGAATCAGGAACAGAAAGCCACCACCACCACCATCCCCATCCTCTAGTTATCTGACCCTAAGCGGCTCACTTGCAGGCTGCTGGCTGGACCAGGTCAGGTAGTGTTCCATTGTGCACCATCAGCCGGGGCTACCATTGAGCCCTCTCTTCCCAAATAGGCACCTCTGGGAGGTTTGAGATGGAAGGCTGGGACAAAATCTTCCTTGCTGGTGGCAACAGGCTGCTAGGGACTCAATAGCAGTTTCAGTGGGTGAGCCTGTCCCATGCCAGTCCACCCTGCCAAGTACCTGCCTTCTCTTTAATTCACGGGAGATTTTCAAGGGCTTTCCCAGACAGCCTGAATGGGGAAGGGGCTTCTAGGAGGGGAGAACACTAGAGAGGGCATGCAAGGACAGGGGCACCTTACCAGAGGGCTGCAGGCTCTCCTGGATGGCTTCGATCTCCGACAGCTCCATGCACACGCCTTGCCCGTGCATCAGCGTGTGCAGGGGCTTCTCCACCCCCCGGGGCGGGTAGCAGCGCAGGCCCGAGCCGCAGCGAGGGGTATACACCCCGCAGGGCATCCCCTTGCCCAGGGCGCAAGTGGCGCAACAGCCGCAGCCCGGCTCCCGCACCAGCTCCTCGCAGCCCACGGGGGGGCGGCAGCGCGCCAGCTTCTCCTCGGAGCAGGACGGGCAGTGGATGGCTTCGTCGCCCAGGCTCGGCCCGGGCCCGGCGGCCAGCAGCAGCGCGGCCACGAGGCAGAGGGGCAGCATGACCGAGCTAGGACGGGGCGCGGGCGCGGGCGCGGACTCGGGCGCGGGAGGGGAGAGCCCGCGCTCAGACTGGCGGCAGGACACGCGGCGACAGCGCCCGGCGCTCCTGGAGGACTCGACCCGGAGGGCGCGGGGAGACGGGGCGGCCCCGCTGGCGGACAGGGACCGAGCCAGGGAAGTTAGCAAGCGGGCTGGAGGGGAGCGAGCCTGGCCGCCGACGCGCTGCGCCGCATCCTCGGCCCGGCCCTGGCGGCGGGCGGCGGGGGGGCAGGGGGCTGAGCGGCTGCCGGGGACCGGCTCCCCCGGACTTTATACCGGCCCCTGGCCACACCCCCAGCGCCTTCCCAGAGGTGGGGGAGCGGGGGCGCCGGGGGGGAGAGGGAGAGGCGGCCGTTAGGGGGAGGGGGCGCTGTCCTGAGTCGCCGCCGCCGCCGCCGCGGCCGCCGCCGCTATAACATCTGAAAGTCCTTTTCTGCCGCAGAAGGAAGCGGCGCAGTTTGGAAGCCGCGGCAGGCGCCGAAAGCGCCTCTGAACCGGAGCCTGGGAGGGGAGGGAAAGGAAGAGGAGACGCCAAGGGGCTGTTCTTTGGCCCCCTCCCCCGACCTTGGAGGATTCCTTCCCTACCCCGCCGGGGCGGCTGCAGCCCCGCCCCCACCCCACCCCCAAGAACGCGACCTCCTAGCCCGGACTGCTAGTTCGGCGGATTCAGTCTCCCTGGCCCGAGTCCTTTCCACCCTCCTTCGTGCTTCCAGTCCCAACCACTGGAGACCAAGTCGAGTGAAGTGGGGAAAGGAAAGCAAGCACCTATCGAGGGACCCAGAAGGGCCTGGTGGCCCTAAGAAGTTAGGTTCTCTTCCCACTTGCCCTTCCAACTCCTTCCCCCAGCCACCCACCCGCGAAGCACGCGCCCTGGCTCCTCAGGGCTCATCTGGGTCCTGGTCCATTCTGCCTTCCTGAGAACTGAATCAACTGAGCTGGAGAAGGAGGTGCCCAGCCTCTTCTTACTTCCTGGATGTTTGCCTCTACTGCCCGACTCCCTCCCAGAGGAGGATTGGCTAGGGAGATTGTCACTCTCAGTGTGCAAACTGTGCATCGCACAACTCCAGGGGGCACCATTTCTCTTGTAGTCATGGTAGGTTTGTGTAGCTGTTATGACAGCTTTCCAGCAGATGGCAGTCAAGCATTTCGAGGTAGGGATGCCTTTTTCTAATTCAGCCAGCCGTTGCTATTTGGGCTAGTATGTCGGCTGGCTAGGCCCTCTATGAGATCCTATTGGTACCTGTTTACCCCACTCTTGCCTCAGTCCTGCTGGGATCCAGAGGGACCCTAGAGTAACATTTGAGCAGGGATCCATCTCCTAGGATCTCTCTCCGGCCCCCAGGTACTCATCATCCTTCCCCACAAAGGTTTCTCTGTCCTGGAGCTGGTTTCAGGGTAAGCGTGCCTGTCAGGGCACAATCCGTGACCCACTGTGGATTTTTTTTTTTTTCTTTTGGCTTGACTTGGCTTGGCTTGGCTTAGCCTAGAAAGCAGCAAGGCAGCCAAGCAAAAGTGCAGATCAGAGACCGTTTTCCTGCTTCCAGCTTCCTCTCCCAGGGCAGCAGTCTTTCAGTCTCACAGTAATTAGGCCCTCTCCTACTTTCTCCAAGTGTAGACTTGTCCAGGTGAGAGGAGGAAGAGCAGGGCAGCTAGCTGAACTTGTAGGGACAGAACCAAAAAGTTGCAAACTGACGGCACCTACTGGCAATCATCGAGACTGCAGAAGGTCTGAAGAGTTCTGACCAGTAACAAGATTCTGGGATTCTCTCCCTGCTGTCTCAGAGACGTACTGGGGTCTCTCCATCTTGGAGCAGGGCAAACAGAGCCAGAACCAGATTCCTCATATCCCTGTGGAAAGCCCAGCCTGTTCCTGATTCAGAAAACTTCCCCCAGCCCTATCCCCCTCTATCATCACTGAACCCAGTTCTGCCATCAGCTTATTGTATGAACTTGGACACCGCTCCTTGGAGCTTGAATGTCCTGAACCATAAAATAGAGGTAGGTCGTCTCTGTCTATCCTGCCTCTTGAAGCTCTTGTGAGAGTAAAACAGGACCAGAAAGGATGATTCTGATACCAATGCCAGACTTGCCTCATAGACAGCAAACCTAGGAGAGCTACAGGTGCTGAGACATGGAGGAAGGAGTGCCAGGAGATGTTGGGCTGAAGACAAAGAACCTGGAGGCGGAGCATGAGTGCAGGTGAGTGTGGGAAATTCGGGAAAGGTTCCAGATAAGACAGGTACCCAGACCTCTACCCCAGTATCCTTCATCCATCTGCTGGTGCCCATCTGTCCCCCAACATCACTGTCTGGGATAATCTCAATGAAGCAGGAAAACAGAAATAAGTAGGCCATCCAAGCACCCCACCATTCATGCAACACATATTTACTGGACACTGATTGTATGCAGGCCTTGTGCTACATACTAAGGACACAGAGAGGGCCAAGATCACTCTCTGTCTTCAAGAAGCTCACTGCCTACTGAGGGGAAAGAGGCATACAAAAATAAAATGAATCTAAGAAGTGTGCAGGTGCCCTGGGAGGTGCCATATAGGGCATTGTGGGGACCCAGAGGCACAAGTAATCAGTTCTACATCCAAGGCATGGGAAGACTTCATGGGGAAGGTGACTTATGAACCAACCATCTTCCATGCTTAGAGGAAAAAGCACAGGTACTAGCATCAGGTCCACCTGGATGCTAATCCCACCTTTGCCACTGGACTCACTGGGGAACCTGAAACAAGTTTCTCTGAGCTTCACTCTCTTTACCTGGAAAATGGGGCTTTGTGATAAAGAAAGAAGGTGAGAAGGGGAGAGAAAGAAAGTAGCTTGTGCAAATCCCCCAGCCTACAGTGGGCACTTAGCATTTACTCCTTCCTACCCTACCCTGCTGGAAAATATAGTTCTCCGCAGAGCTGGAGAGCTCCCAGTGCCAGGACCTGTGTTCCCCCCAGCAGACTGGAGACCCTCAGAGGACCGAGTTTAGTGTCCTGCCTGGGCATACTGGTGTCCAGGAGAGGCTACATAAAAGGCATAGGATTTGGAGTCAGAGGACCTGGGTTCAAGGTGCAGCACAGCCTCTTAAGAGCTGTGTGACCTTGGATACCCACTTAATGTCTTGAAAGGTCATTTCATCCTCTATTTTAAAAAGGAGGAAAAAAAACACCAAAATTCTGAATTCAGTTCTTCAGTGGTTTTTATATGCTCTTGAAACAAAGATATAACTTTAAAAATTTAACCCTAAAAGCATATAATAATTTTTTTTAATTTTTAAAGAGTTTATTTATTCATTCATCAGAGACACACACAGAGAGAGAGAGAGGCAGAGCACGGAAGGGAGAGAAGCAGGCTTCCCACAGGGAGCCCAATGTGGGACTCGATCCTGGGACTCCAGGATCATGCCCTGGGCTGAAGGAGATGCTCAACCAGAGCCACCCAGGCATCCCTAAAAATAAAATTTTAAAAGAGAGTGATTCCATGGGTGGAATTGGATTACCCCACAGGATGACTGCAAGAGAAGATGAGATAATGGATAAGAAAGGACTCTGGAACCGGAGAAATGGGATGCAGATGATGCTCATTGGTTTTCTTCACCTGATCGCTGCCCCCTTGAGGACTGAGAGCACCTCCTAGAGTCCCCAGAGGCAGAAACGTGGCCCTCCTCCCCCGTCATCTTTTCCAGCCCAAGGCTCTACCAGAAAAGGAACCTGTGTGGGGCACCAGGCTGGCTCAATGGGAAAAGCATGTGACTCTTGACCTCGGGGTTGGGAGTTCCAGCCCCATGCTGGGTTACTAAAAAATCAACTTTAAAAAAAAGGAAAAAGAGAAAGAATCTCTGCCTCCCCCTGGCTCCCTTGTCTGTCCCTAAGCCCCTGGGCACCCAGGACGCCAGGAAGATGCTCCTGATGGAGAAGTGAGAAAAGTCTCCACTCCCCAGCCGCTTCTTCCAGCTCACACCCTCATGGGCTTGTTGCTTAGAGTCTAATTAGCTCCCTTCTTGGTTCAGTTTTAAACCTCTATTGGGGGGCAGCCCCGGTGGCATGGCGGTTGGGCGCCGCCTGCGGCCTGGGGTGTGATCCTGGAGACCTGGGATGGGGTCCTGCGTCGGGCTTCCTGCGTGGAGCCTGCTTCTCCCTCTGCCTGTGTCTCTGCCTCTCTCTCTCTCTCTCTGTGTGTCTATGAATAAATAAATACAATCTTTAAATAAATAAATAATAAATAAATAAACAAACCTCTACTGGGTTCAGTCTGGGCTTCTTAGAGAATTGATAGTCCTGCCCTCGTGGGCTTGCCCTAAAAACTCTTGTCTGACAGAGTAGGCAAAATACACATAATAAGGAAAGTTAACACTTAATGAGCACGGGCCATATGCTGGATGGATATGGTCCTAAGTGCTTCACTCGTGTACTTCACAACAATCTCATGAGGGCTATCCCTGGACTTCCCACTATGCCTGCATTGAGTAGGGGGCCTCAACCACCCTCCATTCTGCTGATGCCTGGACCCCAAGTAGAGTATCCTCCACAGTGGCTCCAGGTGTGGGCTGAGAAATGGCACATCAATACAGCTGCCTCCTTGTGCACCAGGGCCCCATACTTGGAGAGAACAGATCAGGAGAGATAGGATCTCCTTAGAGACCCCACAGTGCAAAGGGAAGTCTGGCTCAGAGGCTAGAGCTGTATCCTTCCATCAGGATATGTGGCACCAGAAATGAACACCCAGACAGAGGATGCAGAGAGGAGAGGAGAGCCCATCTGCAGTTGGGCTGGCCGGGATCCAGTTTCATATCTCTAGGCCAACCAGCTCTGCTACTTGCCAGCTTTGTGGCCACTTCCCCTTCCTTGGCTTCAATTTTACTATCTGTAAATGGGGGGGAGGGGGACTCATTGAATTGTGAACCCCCTTCCAGCTTGGGCAGTCTGGGAATCTAGAACCTTTGAAAGCTTTTTGCATGGTCCTAAACCCATGCCAGCATGACTCCCAACACTCCAGAGTTTGCACTGTTTCTAAGCCAATTGGCACCCATGGAATCTCTTTCTCATTGGCCAAAGACAAGCCAAGTGAATGATGTTAGGTCCTCTGAGAGTTCTGTCACTGCCTAGAAAGGTGACAAGGTTCACTCAAGGCCATACAGCTAGTTAACTAATAGAGCCAAGACTTTTTTTTTTTAGAGCCAAGAATTTAACTAAATATATTTACTACCTGCTACAGACTTATGCCCTGAGCCACTCTGCCTCTGCTGCCGGAGCATTACCAGTGAGCAATGGGCTAAGGGCTCAAGGAAGGTGGGGGTGGGAGGAGAAGGAAGTACACCCTGGGAGAATCTATGCAGATGACACTTGCAAAAGTACAGATGCAGAGGGGAGTCTGGGAGGAGAGTGACAAATGTTAAGAAGGGGAAATTATTTGCCCTGCCTCCCCTGACAGTTGTTGAGTGGAAGAGCAGGGTACCTGCTTGCCAGGATACCTCTTGGCCTGATAGATAAAAAGCCCAGAATCAGAGTAGACCCCATGTTCTTCACCCACATTCCCTGGAGGACCTCTAGGGCCTGTCTCCTACTACCCCAACCCTGGAGAACAGAGTACTACTTACCTTTAGAAAACTCCAGAGATAGGACGCCTGGGTGGCTCAGCAGTTGAGTGTCTGCCTTTGGCTCAGGGAGTGATCCCGGAGTTCCGGGATCGAGTCCCACGTCAGGTTTCCTGCATGGCACCTGCTTCTCCCTGTGCCTGTGTCTCTGCCTCTCTCTGTGTGTCTCTCATGAATAAATAAAATTGAAAGAAAGAAAGAAAGAAGAAAGAAAGAAAGAAAGAAAGAAAGAAAGAAAGAAAGAAAGAAAGAAAGCAAGCTCCAAAGAGACTCTACCAAGGGACTGTTAAACCCACCCTAAAAATGGCTCTAAGCTTAGAAAGGCCCCACAGAGGAATCCTCAGATTTAGCAAAACCCAAGAAAGAGGCCCTGGGGTCCAGAGAAACCCCCAACATCCAGATACATGTGGGCTCTTATTCCCTGGCTACACAGCTTCTCTTTCCACACCAGCACTAGGAGTTCACAAATTTTCCCAGTCATGCCTCCTCTATATTCCGAGACCTCTCTTCCAGCCCCCTCATCCCATGCCAAGAGCCAGAATCTCCTCACTCCAATTTTTCTGTCTCATCCTTTCTGTCCTCCCCACCCCTGTCCACTTCAGCCAAGTCTTCCTCTTTTTCTTACCCAGGAGAACATCCTGGTTGGAGGTGCCTCCCAAACTTGGTGGTAACCAGGCATCCCAACCCCACTGAGGAAAAGTGGGGAAGGGACCTCCAGGAAAGGTGAGTGGACTGCAAGAGAGGAAAGAGAAAAGGGACCTCCATTCCTCGTCTGCAAAATTGGAATGATACCATACCTACCTCATAGGGTTGTGATGACAAGCTTACAGAGTGCTTGCTTTTACCTCATTTAACAAATAGATATGGAAAAACATTCTGAGATATCACTTTATGTCCACCAGATTGATAAAAATTTTAAATACTGGGCACCTGGTGGCTCAGTGGTTGAGCGTCTGCCTTCAGCTCGGGTCATGATCCCAGGGTCTTGGGATCGTGTCCTGCATCGGGTTCCCTGTGGGGAACCTCCTTCTCTCTCTATCTCTATATTTCTCATGAATAAATAAATAAAATCTTCTTTAAAAAAGTTTAAATACTGGTAGTGTGGAGTAAGGGAACTTTCATATAATGCCAGTAAGAAAACAAATGTGTGCAACTGCCTGGAAACAACCAACAACTCCACCCTGAGATATATACCCATTAGAAATGTGTGTGTGTGTGCATGTGTGTATTCCAAAACACATATATGAGTGTTCATAGCAGCACTATTCAGAATAGCCAAACACTGGGATCAATAGTAGAATTAATAAACCTATAGTTTAATAAATATTGCTATACCAACAACATCGAGAAATTATAGATTGAGCAAAAAAGATTACTACTGTAGGATTCCATTTACATAGAATTCAAAAACAGGCAAAACTCATCTATGGTTTTAGAAATCAGGATAGAGTTACTTTTGGGATGAGTGGTAGAAGTAGTCACTTAAAAAGGGCCTCATGGGGTACAGGTGATGTTTTTATTTAGTTACATGGTATATTTACCATATGAACATTCATTGAGCTAAACATTTCTTATTTCTGCACCATTCTGTATGTACTTTACTTTTATTACTTTAACTTTTTTTTTAAGATTTTATTTATTTATTCACGAGAGACAGAGAGACAGAGAGACATAGGCAGAGGGAGAAGCAGGCTCCATGCAGGGATTCTGACGTGGGACTGGATCCTGGATCTCCAGGATCAGGCCCTGGGCTGAAGGCGGCGCTAAACCGCTGAGCCGCCCAGGCTGCCCTACTTTAACTTTTTTAAGAAAAAACTTTTTTTTTTTAATTTTTTTAAAGAATGCTGGCTCTCAAGTAGCCTGGCTGGACTGGATTCTTGGCAGTAGGTTTAGTATAAGTTAGCACACCTCTCTATGCCTCAGTATCGTCATCTTTCACATTAAGTGACCATTATACAGAGTGGCTATAATGATTACATGAATGAATCTGTGTAAAAAACTTGCAATGGTGCCTGCTACATAGTAAGTGCCCAGGGTTGGTCATTAGTCATGACCAGCCAAGTGAGTGAGATTAAGAACCTGGAGCCAGGGATGCCTAGGTGGCTCAGTAGATGAGCATCTGCCTTCAGTTCAGGGTATGATCCTGAAATCGAGGTCCTGGAATCGAGTCCCACATCAGGCTACCCACAGGGATCTTGCTTCTCCCTCTGCCTATGTCTCTGCCTCTCTCTGTGTGTCTCATGAATAAATAAATAAATAAAATCTTTTTAAAAATAATCTGGAACCAAAATGCCTGCACTAAAACCTGGATTTGACATTTACTAGCTCTGTGACTTTGGCCAAGTGACTTTGGCTCCCTCGTATCCTTAAATACGCTCAGTTGTAAAGGAGGGCTAATGGCAGCCCAGCCTAATAGGGCTGTATGAGAACCTACAGAGAAAGTCACTTCATTTTCATAACAAAAAAACACCTTTAGAGCTTCTTGGCTTAGGAAATTCCAAGAGTTTTAGCTCTATGCCAGGATCAAAGAAAGACCAAATATGTATTTCTTATCACAACATCACACCTCTCAAGAAATTGGGATTTCTGCCAATTTCAGAACTGGGTAGAAAATGACAGGTCTAGGTGACCTCATTCCCTACCAAATTAGAAATCATACTGGCATTCTCACCACATCCTCCAGGCCAGCTTGCTGTCCCATTGCTGTCACCTGCAGTTATAGCTCTCTCTGGGCCTCAGCTTCCCCATTTGTACATGAGGAGGTTGAACCTGGTAATCTAAGAGCCAGCCTTGTTTTAATCTATGTTCCAAGGAGATCCAACCCTGCTCCTGTCACACTTGCTAAGTGTGTCTGTCCTGTTGGGTCCCCTGAATGTCAGGTAATTCCCCTGCCTATCTGGGTGGGAATTTCAGGAACTTTGGGACCTTCTGGGATGGCAGGGGGCAGGGGGAAATAGGGGAAGAGAAGGAAGATTGAGGAGCTGGAGTGAGATAGAAAAGCTACTCTGGGGATGCCTGGGCGGCTCAGTAGTTGAATGTTTGCCTTCAGCTTGGGGGGGGGGTGATCCTGGGGTCTGAAGATCAAGTCCCACATCCAGCTCCTTGAATGAAGCCTGCTTCTCCCTCTGCCTATGTCTCTGCCTCTCTCTCTCTCTCTCTCTCTCTCATGAATAAATAAAATATTTTAAAAAAAGAAAAGCTACTCTGCCATCCCCACTTCCACCTCTACCACATGCCCTTCTGTCCCAACAGGGAGAGCAAGGAGAGAAGAGTACCCCAGCACTGGACTCCTGGCTTTCCTGGTGAAAGGGGCCTATGGGGACCCAGGGACTCCTAGTCCTCCAGGGTCCCCAGCAATCACTGGCCTTACCTTTGAAAGGAGAAGTCAGAAGTAAGGGGTGAATGGTTTATGGGTGGGGGGAGGTGAGTGGTAAGTAGACAGTGGGTGGAAAAATGGGTAGATGGTGAGTGGGTGGGAGGGTTTAAGTGGTGGATGGGACTGGCTGGATGGTAGGTGGATGGAGTGAGTAATGGATAAGTGGTAGATGAATGAGAAA